TCATAACAGTATGATATTGGCTTAAAAACAGACACAGATCAATGGAATAGAAGTCCAGATATAAACCCACACATATATGGTCCACTAATTTTTGATAAAGGAGCCAAGAATGTAAAATGGGTAAAGTGCAGTCTTTTCAATAAGAGTTATAGGGAAAATTTGATAGCCACATGTAAAAGAATGAAACTGTACCTTATCTTACACCATATGCTAAATCAATTTAGAATGGTTTAAAGATCTAAGTAAATATATAGTGGATAATCTCCTTGATATCTATCTCAGCGGTGATTTTTCTGGATTTTATATCAAAGCAAAGGCAGCAAAATCAAAAATAAAAATAAACAAATGGTACTACATCAAAATAAAAAGTTGCACAGATAATAAACCATCAATATAATGAAAAAGCAATCTACAGAATGGGAGAAAATATTTGCCAATCATATATCTGATGAGTTAACATAAAATATATATAAAGGATTCATACAACTCAACAGCAAAAAAAGAAGAAAAAACCACTCATTAAATATGGGCAGAGGAATTGAATAGACATCTTTTCAAAGAAGATAGGCCATAAAAAAGCATCACTAATTATCAGGAAAATGCATAGCAAAAACACAATAAGATATCATCTTACAAAAATGGTTATCACCAACCAGACAAGAGATAAAAAAAAAGTATTAGTGAGGATGTGGCAAAAAGTGTGGATAAGGAGGTTGGTAGGAATATAAATTGGTACAGCCATTAAGGAAAACCATACAGAGGATTCTAAAAAATTAAAAATAGTTTACCACAGAATCCAGAAATCTTCCTTTTGTGTATATATTCATGAGACACAAACAGATTCCTGCAGTCCTGTGTTCATTGCAGCCAATAGCCAAGATATGGAAACAATATAAGTATCTATCAATGGATTAACTAATAAAGAAGATATGGTGGGACTTCCCTGTGGCTCAGCTGGTAAAGAATTCACCTGCAGTGCGGGAGACCTGGGTTTGACCCCTGGGTTGGGAAGAACCCCTGGAGAAAGGAAAGGCTACCCACTCCAGTATTCTGGCCTGGAGAATTCTATGGACACAGTCCATGGGGTTGCAAAGAGTCGGACACGACTGAGCGACTTTACACAATGATATATTACTCAGCCATGTATCTGAGACAAAGGATATTTTCTTGCTTGCCACAAGGATGGATCTTGAGGGTGTTATGCTAGTGAAATATGTAAGATAAAGAAAGACAAATGCTATATGATGTCACTTATATGTGGAATCTAAAAAAGTCAAGCTCAAAGACTAGAATAGTGGTTATCAGTGGATAGGGGATAGGAGAAATGAGGAGATATTGGTCAAAGAGTACAAACTCTCAGTTATTAGATGAAGAACTTCTGCAGGTCTAATGTACAGCATGGTGACTATAGTTAACAATACTGTATTACTTACTTGAAAGTTTCCAAGAAAGGAGATTTTAAATGTTACCACCGCACACACAAAAAAGAAATAATAATTATGTGATGTGATCCAGATGTTAGCTAATGCTCTGCTGGTAATCATTTTGCAATAAATAAGTATATCAAATAAACATGTTATACATCTTAAACTAACCAATGTCATGCTGAACTACTATAGCCACTGAGAAGCCCTTCATTTACTGAATGCTTACCATATCTCTGGAACTGGTATATGCACGCTATACAGCCCTGTTTATTTTTTGCCTGTTTCATAGGTTTCTAGGATGTACTTACTAATGTGACATAAGAATAAAAGATACCCTGGTAAAGCTAAGGGTGTTAGCAGAAAATCAAAAAGCTTCTCCTAGGGGCCAGTCATGAATTGACTCCACTCTAGTGACAAGGAAAGTATGTCTCCCCTGTCAAAGAACAAATTCCCAGAAGACAGGCTGGGTTATCTTAGCTTGGGGATAATGCCTACTCTATGGGTTAATGAGCTTTGCCCAGAATGGCGGAATCACCAGGTCAGACATCTGTACATTGTGTATAGTCAGTATCTACATGTTTTAACTGATCTCTGAGATGAGTGAAGTTGGAGGAAATGGGCAGGAACAGAGTTAAAAGCCAGGATGTTCACTCCAGCTCTTGTCCCCCTTATTCTGTAAATCTTCTGGTACTGGCAAACAGTAAGTGGGAGAAATTGATTTGACTAACACCAAATGTTTTTATGAGTATCTCAGCTGTGCCTGGTACTTTAACAATTTGCCTTTGAGTGTCACACCTTACAGAGATCTTTTACATAAACCTGTCTTGTTTTATTCCCCAAACCACCATGGGAATACAAGTAATGAAAGAGCACACTCCCCCATTTTTACAGATGAAGAAACTCAAGCTGACAAGTAGCTTGCCCAAAAGTCACATGTCTGGACAGAGGGGACTGGAAATGGGACTCTGACCCATGACTTTTTAATCCCCAGCCAGTACTGTTCCCGTTAATTCTTCCTTGATGTGAGCATTTAGTACTGACTTGAAGGAAGAAGTACTAAGAACAGCTTATTTCATTGAGAAGGAGGAACTTAATGTTCAAGGAGGTGAGTAATAGCATCCAGATGAAAGATGTGACTAGCCATAAAATGAAAATGATAGCAGAGACAATTTATTCACAAAGGAACAGCAAATTTATTGATGGGATTTATCTAGTAAGTGACAGTGAGGAATAAAATAGACTGCTATTCTGATTTAGAAGAAAATCACTCTATGCAGAATAAATAGAGCAATTTTCTCTGATGATACAGAAATACTCCACACTTATGTCAAGATGATGAGCAATGTTGTCAGGCCAGCATTAGCTTGGGGAAGAAAATCAGTGGTGAAAAAGATCAGGCTTAATTTTAACATTCTTGGAGAAGATACCCCTATAGGATGATTAAAGAATTGCTTCACTGCACATGTTCCTCCTTGCATCATCTCTGTCAGGTTAGGGTTGAATTGGAATTACAAAGTGTTGGTTGCTCAGTCATGTATAATTCTTTGTGGCCCCATGGACTGTAGCACACTAGGCTACTCTGTCCATAGAATTTTCCAGGCAAGAATACTGAAGTGGGTTGCCATTTCCTTCTCCAGAGGATCTTCCTGATCCAGGGATCAAACCCGTGTCCCACGCATTGTAGGCAGATTCTTTACCATCTGAGCCACTGGGGAAGCAAATGAAATTGTCAGGTCAATGTCCCAGGCTCCTCCTCAGCCAAGTTAATTCCTTATTAGGAATGTGCCCATGAGGACAGGGCACAGAAATAGCAAGAATAAGAAATGGGCTATGGGGCTTCTCTGGTGGTCCAGTGACTAAGAATCCAGCTGCCAATGCAGGGGGCACAAGTTCAATCCCTTGTCGGGGAAGATCCCACATGCTGCAAGGTAACTAAGCTTGTGTGCCACAACTACTGAGCCCCCACGCTGAAACTACTGAAGCCTGATAACCCTAGACTGTATGCTCTGTAACAAGAGATGCTACCACATTGAGAAACCCACGCATCACAACCAGAGAGTAGCCCCCGATGCCATAACTAAAGAAAGCCTTCCTGCAGCAACAAAGACCAAATGCAGCTGAAAATGAAAGAAAGAAAGAAAGATATTGGCTAAGTATCTTTTGATACAAAGAAAATGATTGCTTCACCTTGCTCTCTAGAGGTTTTTAGGCAATTTCTTTACATTACCTCTAACCATAGCTAATATAAAATGAAGAGAGACTTGTAGCAAAACAGAATACTGTCGCTTTTACTGTCTTCTGTTGCCACAAGATGAGGGAAGGTATTTTGCCTGCATAGTCATCAAATAAAAATATTGAGTCTTTGAAAGTCAACATGCTTTTCACTGAGTTCATCCTGAGGATGGGTTCCAAAGGCATTGTATCAGCTAGTTGAATTGTCAGTGGTCTTGTCACTGTCATTCTCTGTGATAAATGTTGGGTTCATTTGATTACATTCCCTCACTCTCTCTTTCCTTACTGAAAGAAAAACCTTTCTATTTGTGTGGTGCTCAGGATTCTTTCATATCTCCAAGATATGGAAAGAGAAGAAAGCAAGCTGCAGAACAATGTTTCACATTCAGCGGTATGTACTTAGGGTCCAAGAGCACTGGACAGAGGAACACCAAACAGTTGAGAATTGTTGCATCTGGGGATAGGAAGGGAAAGCAAGAGCGTCAGATGGGAAAAGGGGCACATTCATGTTTTTTTCTAAATATTTCTGTGTGGTTTGAATCTTTTACAACAATAACATATTCATGTATGACTTGTGTGATTTTTTTAAAGGACAATAAAATAAAAGACGCATTCAGTCAAAGAGAAATGGGGCTTTTGCTTGCAATGCTACTTAAAGGTTAATTTTTGTGAAATCAACCAGCGGTCTTAGGTTCTAAGGCAATTTTTTGTTTGGGTCTGTTCCCCAGGAGATCGTCTCTCTAGGAGATTTTCGTTATCTTTATTTGCCTGAAAAGTTGAAGATATCAAAATATTTTCAATGTACTTAAAGTTTTAGCTTTGGGCAGCATTAACAAGAGCCTGTCCAGAAATGAGAATATACTACCAACAATTTAGACTCATGATTTTTCTTCTAGTACTTTTCCCAGAGTGAAGATATAAAAAAATGCTTTTAAGGATCTAACTTGAGAACGTAGGTGTCACCCTTCTCCACAGCCGTTTACCAAACTCTACAAGTAGCTTAAACCCTGGCTTCGGGTCCCTAAACCACTTCTTCATTGTTTTGTTTCCTTGATGGTTCAGTAATTATCATGAGAAAGTTGTACAAGAGCACCCTTGTTGAGAGGCACAGAGGAGGAAGAGAGAAGACCCTCAGGCTGTCCCTTCTTGGTCACCTTGACAAGCACAGTGTTTTCAATTTACATCAGCTCCAAAACTGCAGATCCGAGGTGTTTGTTCTTGGCCTTCCATTCTCCTTACACTGGATCCTGCCTTTTCCCCAAGTCTCAATTAATCAGATGGAAATAATATTCTCAAGCTTGTAACATAGCCCAGATCTTTCAGGGGTGCACCAGTACTTACCTCCCTCCAGCTGCATAGCTCACACCTTCAATCAGACATCCCAGAGCAATGACAAGCCTAAAATGTATGAAAATGGATGCATCTCTCTCTACCCCAAATCTACTCAACCTCCTATGAACACAGTAGTTCCCAACCAGTGGTGGTTCTATACCCCCAAGGATATTTGGCAATAATATCTCAAGACAACAGCAGGAGAGGAATACTGGGCATTTGATGGCTAGATCCAGAGATGCTGCTAAACATCCTAAAATTTACAGGACCCTCTCTCCCACAGTGCAGCAAAGAATGTCTCACCCAAAATGTCAGTAAGGTCACGTTTGAGAAAATATTTACCTCTAAAATGATTGAGAAATGGTTAATTTAATGGTTAGGTCATGGAAAATGGGTTGACTCATAAATAAGGATAGTATAATCCATCCTTAAAGTCACCCCTGTTTTCTCCTTCTCTCACTTCTGAATCTAGGTGTTCACAAGTCCCATGGATTCTAGATACAATGGATCTTCAGGCTGTGTGGGGCTGCTGGGGCTGGCAGGCGACCCGGACCTGGGTTTCGGTTTCCCCTGAAATGGTGGGATTCCCCGCTCCCATCAGGTAACCTGGAGCCAGCCAATCAACACACGCCTAGCAAGAGAAAGGGAACCTATCAGGGGAAAGCTGAAAAGCCTGCGAACGCCCAAGTTTGAAAAAAGCCTGCGAAGGTTTGGGCCAATAAGATTACTTTGCAAACATGTAACCAATCCGCTTAAGCCAGCTACCAACTGCTTATGCACACCTTATAAATTCGGTAACAGCTTGAGCTCAGTGCTCTCTGACCCCGTACCACTGCATTGGACGCGTGGCGGGAGCCCTGACTCGAGTCAGCAATAAACTTCCCTTATTTTGCGAGTTGCATTGTCTTGGAAGCCTTCTCTCTTCCCGCTCAGGGATTCAGACATCGGGCATAACATTTGGGGGCTCGTCCGGGATCCCTTGACAGGGGAAAGAGAACACTTCCAGGACAGAGGGGAAGGATAGATATAGCACCGGTGCTTAGGCAGAACAGGAAAGTCCAGTGTAAATCCGAGGCCCTGCTGGGAAGCAGGAAGGTATCTGGCGCAGGAGAAAGCTTTCTATAAAGGGGGAACGGATTGGACGTTCCAGCCGGCGCAAGACTGAGGCAAGTGAGCGCGCTGGAAGGCTGCCGGCTCTGCGGGAAGGGGAGTTCCTCTCCTGATCCCGAGTCTGGTGAACAGTGGACGCCATTCGGTAAGATAAACCTGCTACCGGAAGGCAAGAGAATTCAGGGGGCCCGAAAACCCAGCGCTATGTTATTGGCCGACGTTTGTCTGTCTGTGTGTTTGCCTTCGGCTCTCCGTGTTTGTGTATGCCGGCATTGTCTCTGGTCCTCCTCCTTTTGAAATCTTTGAAGACATCTGAAGTTTTGTGTCTCTATAGAAGGTTTTCTGAGAGACTGTATTCTTGTATTTAAGGGAGTGTCTGATGAGGACTGCCAGGTTTATATGTGTGTTTTAACTCTGTTCTGTGTTGTGATTTGTGACGGCTATTTTGCTTTGTCTGGCCACCGTTTAGACCTGCCACCATTTTGTTAGAACTTGATTTTCTTTTCCTGTGCCGTGAGACCACGGCTCTCAGGAACACTTATCTAGACCATCTCTAACTCCTGAGACTGAGAGAAAAAGGAAAAAAGCCTTTAAAAATGTTATTTATTTCAACTTTTTTATAAACTAGTAAATTTTACATTGTAATATCTAATTCATGACCAAACTTAGAAAATGAAGCTAGATCTTGCACTGTGTCTGTCTAAATATGTTTTAGTATGTCTTTGTCTCTGGAAAATATTTTTTAGGTTAATTTGTAAATGAGCTCTATTCAATTGGCTTAAAAAAAAAGGGTAAGTGCTTACAAATCAAATAATTCTAAATTAAACAATAAATTCCAGGTTTAGGTGAACTGGGAAATATTCAGTATTAAATACCTGATATTAATGTTTGTTTGTTGACCTATCTAATATAGACATGTCTTAGAGTAATTAACATCAAGTGAAATGTTTTCATTGTGCCTAGGTTTAATATAAGTTAAATATTATGCCTGTTACAGATTTGTCGACAAGTAAATTACCTCAAGTAAAAAAAAAAACTTCTAAAAAATGTAAATGAGGTATAAGTTTGTATATAAACTCTATTAAGAATAATTATTCTTTAAGAATATCTGTTTAAAATAGTCTCTCCAGATTAGTGTAACTTGAATTTCTAAGGGTTGTGCTAAACTAAGTATTGGAAATCTATTAAATAATTAGGTCATTTCCAAATGAAATAAGATTTTGAAACGTTTACTACTAAACACTGATTTCCGTTTACAGAAAAACTAAAGAGATTTGGGACTATAAATGAATAATGTTTGATGCCATCCTAAAATGTTTTAAGAAAGCAAGGATTTTAGAAATTATCACTGGTATTTATGCTCACCAATCTATAAAATGCTAATATAAAAGTTAGCTCTTGGTTGCTAAAGGAAAGCAAGAAGTGTGCTTTCAGTAAAAAAAAAAAAAAAGTGTAAAAAAAATACTAAAAAGTTATGCATGATCAGGATTTTCTAAAATTGGATTACAATTAGTTAGATAAATAGATTTTTTTAGGAATGACACGTCATAAGAAAACTGGTTAGAGCCAATTAGGTCCAAGATGGCGGAGCTGACTTTTACTAGACCTTGAGCCTTGGTATTTACGCCCATTGTGACATATCAACAAGCTAAATGATACACCCATCAACATTGACTGAATCTGACCAAATGTTCTAAACGCTTTTAAGTGATCTTTTTGATAAGACTTCCTAAATCGAATTCTTCTGAAGTTCCTTTGACATCTAGCTAACTTTGGGATGTTTCAGAGGGCCCCTGAAACATCCCAAAGAGAGATATTAAACTATTTGGTTGGTTAAATTACATTAAAAAGATTATCAAATGAGTAATAAATCTGCTCATGTTATAATGTATGAAAAATTACTAATACAGATATCCTAGAAATTATATGGAGTTCTTAACATTTTGATATGTCTTGGTATTCTAATGAAAAACCTGATGACTTCACAAAAGTTAACAAAGGACTGAATGAACCAGCGAATATGCTTATAACTTTTATGGTTTCTATCTGAGAAATTACAGGTTTAAATCGTGTGTTTTCCGGGAGTAGAGAAAATCTTCCTCTTAAACTAATTATAAAATAAGTTGGTAAAATTACACGTTATAAACAAAACAATTATATTTTCTCTCTATCTGACTCCTCCAGAAATTTGAAACTCTTAAGTTTCCAGTAAGTTTATCAAATGAGCTAAGAAGGTTATCTCACTAACAGGTACAAAAATCTCAAGGAATTTTTGAGACCTTAAAAAGAAAAGAGTTCACCTAGATTTGTTAGGCAAAATCTGTGATAAGCCTTTGGTGTGAGTTTCCCAGCCCTGTTTTATATTAAAAGTTCAGTCTGAGATCCTATAAGTGTTTCAGCAAAATAAAAAGTCTATGATCAATTATGGTTATATAAATCATCAGACCTAAATTAGTGAAAACAGAACTATTTTGCAAGCAAACTAGCCTTAATTTGGTTGTATTTGATAAAAATGAGGGTAACTTTCGGGAGAAAAAGATATTTTTAAAAAAATTTTAAATCCCAGTTTGTTAATGGAGATCTGCATGTAATAAGACTCATTTCTCAGATAGTTCTTTGCTGTTATGTGATATTAATGTGAAAGTTTGCTTCTGAAGCTTATCTCAGTAATCTATCTTTGGATGAAGATCAGATGCCTCATGACCTGCAACCAGGACTGGAAAAAGACATAATTTAAGAGACTGTCTCCAACCTGGATGGAAGGACTTTTTATCAGGTACTCTTAACTAGGTCATGCACAATGAAACTGAAGGGAAATTAACTCTTAGATTAATCCCCACTTCCAAAGTCCCCTACACTGGATTGGTCTATAGAGAAGACAGCTGACCTGATCTCACCTTAAAATGATGCTCAAACAAGACAACATCAGAGGTAGACAGCTTGCCCAAGATGCTGGATCTGCTTTGTATGATCATTTATAATGTTTTCTTGACTTCTTAGACCTTTGCATATATATCAAATGCTTTTCTATCATAGGCCTGATTCTATGCCAGTTTTAGAAATCAATCCAGTTATTGGGTTTGTGGCCAATTACCTGTATCTAGTTCTGGGTTACCTCGGTAAATTTCTCTACTACAAGACTCTAACTGGTTGGCCCTGTGGAAATTTACTTAAAAAAATTATAGTCATATTCAGGTCACTGTGATACTACCAGATGAGATCCCCTCACTGGGCCAATTAATAATGCTTACACTGACTCTGGCCATAAATTTGAGACTTTTTCTATTCCTCAAGCTCAATCAGAGCAACAAGAAAAGTTTTAGAAAAAAAAAAAAAAAAAAAAAAAATACCTCCCACAATTATAAGATGGATTTATATAGATAAATATGGTACTATATTTATCTATATAGTATGGTACTTTAGGTTTAAAGTCTCCTCTGTGTTAAAAACAATTAAATCATACTAAAGATAATCAGTCTAGTAACACTAGAAAACTGGGCTGTGTGACCTTACAGATGGTGGTGCCAATGTATAATTTCTCTAAAAGATAAAGATTCATACAGAGTAGACTAAGTCAGACAACCTGGGATATACTGGGCTACATCTAATGGAAGCTCTTAAGTCTTACTTGTGACTTTACTAGTACTGCTGGCTATGTTCTTTGTATTTCACCTGTTTTACAAAATTGCTATTTCTTACAGTGCCAAATGTGTGACTGAGGCCTCTGATAAAATAATATATAGTTCCCTATGAGATCAATGATGATGACAGTGCAACTCTAAATATGAAAAAAAACAACAAGAGGGAATGTGTTCCTGGACCAAGAGGCTAGTAAGACAGGTGGTCCAGAGAATCTTGGATACTGTTTTATGGCCTAGTCCAGTAACAGCACATTGAGTGGCTGGTCGACAAAATCTTTGCCAAACCTGAGAATGGACATTCTCAACACCATGGGATAAAATGGTCATGAAATGCCCCCCTCAAAGTCGCGGTCAAGTTTATGAGCAAAAAGGGGCTCTGCCAACTGAAGATTGACACTTGCCATCTGCATCTACAGAGATTA